ACAAGTTATCTGTTTTCTTGTTTTTTTAACACATTATTGTGCCTATTAGTCTCATAACCTATTCACATGCGTTTGTGTAAAGTTTATGACATTTCACTGTACAAAATACAAAAGAACCCAGAGACATCATGGTTGCTAACAATATGCATCGAAAAGAATATACATTATTCAGATGTTAATTCCTGAACTGCTAACATTCAACTGACGACCATTCAATATTTATCGTCAGGATCGACCAAGAAATAAGAAACGGAAACTTGTTGAAATACTTTGTGCTGAGAATTCTGTTGTACCAAAAATAAAATATCGAATAAAGCCACTAATAATAATAATAAACTATGGATTTAGTTATATAAAACAGCGAATTTGACTCAATAATTTCAGCAACTTAAATATTTTTATTCAAATGCTAAGTGTATTAAATTTCTATAAAATCATATTGAAGTACAAGCAGATTGATCGTTCTTTATTCAACTAATTATATTGATCCGTCTCTAAAATTACTTTGATGACTATTATTCCTTCCCATTTAAACGCCTTCTAAACAAACATCACCATATTTAAATATTAAATAAATAAATTTATTAAAAAAAACAAAATTGTTATGTAAATTAGATAAAGCAGTAATTATTAATTTTATTTCAATACCACGACAGGTCTATTTTGAATGATTATAATCAGAGAAGGGTTATTGTGGATACTATAGTAATTTAATAGTTGAATCTATGAATCAAGTGAAGCTAGACGACCATTGAAAACCTGAAAGCATTAGATGGCCGTTTCGTTCTAGTATGGAACTCCTCACCTGTACGCATCCATGATCCCGCCTGGCGGGATTCGAACCAAGCACGAACGCTTAACCAAACTAGAAAGAAACGGCCGTTCAGTGCTTTCAAATTTTACATGGTGATCTAGCTTCAACTGACTAATGATTTCAACTATCAAATTATTTTGAATGAACTACTTATTAGATCATTTAATCCTGATAAATAAAATATGTTCGAGTTTTATTATTGAAAAAAAATTATGTACTTTAGTAAGATAACCAAAGAAGGTTAAACAAAGATACACTTACCTAAATATCATTTCCATACTGTAGCCTATTCTTTAAACAATATAATAAAGCATAAATGGATAGTACAATTTCAATTATTTTTTATTAGAAATAACTGGTTTTTAAAATTCTTTTTCAAAAACAAAATATATTATTTACACTGATTGAAATTATACTCAGAACAATTGAAGTTCTGCTTCAAAGTAAACCTTAGAACAAACATTTTCAAATTGTTTACATGAACTGTCAGGATAAAATATTCATACTGTTAATTTTTATTAAAGAAAATGAATTATAAAATAAGTATCAGAAGGGGCTTTGGGGAGATTTTGATAAGTTCAATAGGTGAAATCATGGGTTAATTGAAGCTAGACCACCATGGAAAACCTGGAAGCAATGGACGGCCGTTTCGTCCTAGTATGGGACTCTTCAGTAGTGCGCATCCACGATCCCGCCCCCACCCCGCGAGATTTGAGCGCCTAACCATTAGACCACTGAGCTAGCATCGAACGGTGTTAATATTCAACTCCAACTGCTGAGGAGTCCCATACTAGGACGAAACGGCCATCCAGTGCTCCCAGATTTTCAATGGTGGTCTAGCTTCAATTCACTCATGATTCCAACTACTGAAATAAAAATAAGTGTCAAATTAGTCACGTACGTGAAATTCTTTTTAACAAATTTTTAAGCACTAAATTTTAAGATTGAAAAACGTGTAACTTTATCCAGAATAGAGTTGAACTTGAGAAACTTCACTAAAATGAGTAATTTTGTTTAGAAGATCAAGTTCTTAAGTAAAAAGAAGTGGATAAATATGACCGATTCGAAGTAACCATTAAAGTTCACTTACACATCTTCCTTATTGTCATGGCGATTATTCAGATGTGGCTAATATGAAATCTGAAAAAGTTCTCCAAAGCAACTATCTATAATGCTAAAACATGTTGGTTGTTTGGATCTTCTCATCAATGTTTAAGACTTCACTCGATCAGTCTCTTTTAGCAAATATATTTAGCTAATAAGTTTTGAATAAGACGGAACATGAATACTCGGTTTCATTACTCACCAACATCCACCTCTACTTACAATGCGTACAAATTTGGTCGCCCTTAGAAAAGTCTTGGATTTGGCTTTACTTTCATATTCGTTTTGAGGCCTAATAAAATTCAGAAAATTTGAATGTTTGAAATAGACAATTTGTTTTACTATTGAACAAGTATATCAATATCATACACTTTCCCAGATTTCTTTCCTAATATTTTAATGTTTTATCTCAATACATATGACACAAGTATTGATTATACATTTGGTAATCTGAGTTTGATTTTCATTCAATTTCATACCAATATGTAAACAACTCTTGTGTTTGTTACTGTGTCTGTTAATTTCCAAACTGATTTTTGTTTTTATGGTTAGTTTTTTTATTTAAATGCAAAATAAAAACCTATTGAAAATAGTTTGACCTTCAAATATGACATCAAAACAATCCAAATTTTAAGAGGCCATTAACGTAAATAAACAACTGTAGGTGTTACTTTCATGTCTTTTTTCCTGAAGACATTAGTGTCACACATATGTTGTTTAGTAGATTGTAGAGACCTTGAAATGAAAAAAAATATGCCTTATGAGAATTAAGTATATTTTATCAATAATTATTGCTTCAGTCAGACAAAAATTTCAAAGTATTTAGTATCTCAACTAAAACAAAATGTGCAAGACTTAATTTCATCTTTGATTTCGTCCAAACATTGTAGACTTTTCATAAAACTTAAATTCTGTATTTATATATGTCCCATTTATGTTTATATTATTTCAGAGATAATGTAGATTCAAAACTGAACATGTAGTGAGGATGTGGTTTACCGAATTCTTAGAAGAAATAGTCATTACAATGACTATTATTATTATTAGAAGTGAAAGAAAAACTAAACTAGAATGTATATCGAAAGATTGGAAGTCTGCCTTGGTCATCCTATACCGTGGTGAAACATCGGAATAAATTAAGAGGCTTCTAAGAAGTATGATATAAGAGTGTATTTTCGGGCTTGTGACACCATAAGGTCGGCATCAGTGAAGGTTAAGGATGGATTTTCAAAAGAAGAACAATAGAATATTGTCTGTGACACCAACTGTCATCATTGTAATGAAGATTATATGGAAGAAACTTTAATACAATTAAATTTGAGGTTGAAGGAACACAAACAGTGTTCGAAAAATGTTCCTAAATTCTCGTTTGATCTAAAGAATTTCGAGAAAAAGTCGGTCATAGCGTTACATGCGTTAGAAACAGGACATAAGATCAATTTTGAATGAACCAATATACTTCAGAAACGTTTTGGCACACATAAAGAATGATTGACAGCGAACCGCTGTATATATGGGCGAATAAGATCAGCCTGAACAGAAGGATGGTATTCAACTAGCAACTACTTGACAAGTATTCGTTAACATGTAATTGGACCCTTTTACTATCTAACCTGTTGATTTCACATACATCGTTATTCTGACTGAAATTAGTGTGGGTTATTTTAGCAATACAATTATGTATTCGATGATTCTCACTTTACATACACATCGATGATTCAGAAACAATTTTTCAACCTTTAACTTGCACTTTTATTTTTCCTTCATATAAAAACAAAATTAACATCTAATACCAACTATTAATAATTCAATCTAACACATAGATACACACAGTTCGTTCAATCATTTATATTCACATCGTGAACTTTTCACATGATTCACATTTAACCGACTCATGTTAAAAGACTAATATTTGAACGAAGAATATTCTTTTCGATAAATTCCCTTCCGAAAAATGGCCAGGTTAAGGGCAAAGTGCATCGTTTAAAGCGTGTGAATTTAGGATTTAAAGCAATTAGTCCCCTTGATAAATTTCGATAGTGTAATAAGAAGACGATTATCAGAACTATATGATATATTAGCGCAATACATTTCAAACAATCTCATACATAAACGTGTTAAGAACATTTATATATAACTTCCACAGGTTGAAATCACCAGTCAATTGAAGCTAGACCACCATGGAGAATCTGGAAGCAATGGACGGCCGTTTCGTCCTAGTGTGGGGCTCCTCAGTAGCGCGCATCCACGATCCCGCACCCTTCAAGATTCGAACCCAGGATTTACTGGTTTCGCGCACGAGCACTTAACCAATAGACCACTGAGCTGGCATCCGACAGTGTTAATGTGTAACTTCAACTAATCCACGAAATTGCGCCACCGTACACCATTGTCATCAGTGAGTTGATATCTCACAACAGACCTGATTGAACTCCATTGGTCACAGCTTCTCACTAGAACTCCAGGAGTATCTCTTGAAGTCAGTCACTAGTGAGCAGATGATTATTATCAGAACAGGCTTTGTGGAGGTTTTTAGAAATTTCACAGGTTGAAATTATGAGTGAATTGAAGCTAGACCACCATGGAGAATCTGGAAGCAATGGACGGCCGTTTCGTCCTAGTGCGGGACTCCTCAGCAGTGCGCATCCACGATATATAAAATTAAAGGTCAACTAGACTAGAAATGAACGGTAAGAGGAGACAAGGATAATAAAGAAATAATGTGAAAACAATATGAAACCTCATCACGTGGTTAAAAGTTTGCAGCATCTGTAGGCATAGTACAAGGTTGTACAAGAACTTTGACTTCACCGACGGCCTGTTCTTTCCAGGCTTTATCGACATGACGGTAGGCACGGCAACGTCGAAGGAAAATACAAAGCTCCTCTTCTTTTCCAGTCTTAATCTCCGAACTATGCAAATTGAACGAGATCAAGCTTTATTACGTCTATTTTCTAATCAAAAATTACCTGTTATTTATCCGTCAGAACTTAATCCATCCATTTTACCCGAAGGTGAAACTGTCAAAGACCAAAGCCAATCATTTTCCGATGTGTAGTCAGCAACATTAAATCTTTCAAAGATGAAAACTACCTCGTCTCCTGGAAATATGGAGAATTCCAAATTAGAACAGTTACTTGTTGTCTCAGGAGAAATTGCCCCTAACACAGAAGTCGCCATTGTTCCCAAAACCCCTTCTAAGCCATCGACTGAGAAAAGTGTGAAAGTTGTCAGTAAAAATCAATCTGTTCCATCATCATTATCTACACCTCTTTCTCCTAATAATCCTACTTCTATCATTAGTAGTAAACCATCAAATATAGCTTTTAATTTGACAAGAAATCAAATTGCGATAGGTTCAACTGTATCATCATTAGTAAATTCTGCATCAGTTTCAAATGTCAAAGATGATCCAAACACTACTACGTTCCGACAATCTTTCTCACTAGGGATGAACCCGATTCAATAGCCCTTATTCACTCAACCAAATATCACGTCAGCTTTCACTGTATCTTTAACTGCCAATGATAGTGGTAATCTATTCGTAAAATCTACTTTATTTAAACCGCAAACACCATCATCATTGCTGATCGTGAGTTCATCTAGTGGCGGTGCTTCTATAGCTCAATCGTCTGCACCATTTGACCTAAACAGTTCTAAAGTCACTAATCTAGTTTTCCAAAATATTGAACCTACTATCACTACGACTAATAATTCTATTATAACATCTAATCCAGTTATTCATACTAACAGTTCATTGTTCAATCCTTTAGTTATTCCTAAACCTATTGTCATTAATCCATCGAATGATTTCAATAATGCTTCACCATGTAAAGAAACAGATGAAATTTAGAAGAAAGATCTTGTTCCAAACATCTCTTCAGTTAACTTGCCTCAAACTACTACTGTTTCTTTTAAATCACCTGGACTATCATCACTTTTACCAACTCCAGTATGTGGTAGTTCAGGTATAATGTTTGGGTCTGGACAAAGTCAAGTTATCAGTACTGCCACTACCAATACTGCGATAAGTTCTTCATTAAGTTCTCTTTTCACTGGTATACCATTGAGCACTACAAGTACAATAATTACAAATTCAAATACTACAACAAAGTCCAATGTTACATTCAACAGTAGACCATTATTCGGTGCACCAAATTTGGTTACAGCCACTACTGTTGTTTCATCAACCTGCAGCACTGGTACAAATATCTTTTTGTTTGGCAATGCAAATCAGTTGTCTTTCTTCGATTAATACGGAATATGTAACCACCGTTTCACATGCGAATACTGTGATTTGTCTCACTGGAATTCCTATTTCGAAAAGTGAGGCTTTCAATAAAACACCGACTAAATCCGTCTCTTCAGTTTTCGGTGGTCTTTTTGCGGAAGCAGCGACCGTCAATTCTCAACAGATTACATCTAATTCAGCTAATTGGGGTGCTGGCCTCTTAGGCTCACCTATGGGATCCGATACACAACCTACAAATAATTTATTCTCTGTGTCAAGCTGAAGTCTTGGTGGAAATTCAACACCTAAAAATTCTGCACAAAGTGCTTTTGGCAAAGCATTTAGTAATACAGCTTTTGTAAATCAAGCTACCTCTACTTTATTTCGCTCACCTAATTCAAGTACCCAGAATAACATTATTTCTGGAGCGAGTCCATCATTGTCAAATCCTCAATCTGGTCTTTTCAGCAGTTCGATTTTAGGTTCATCTTTGTTTGGTTCTCCTACAGCTGACATGTTTTGTACTCAGTTCTGGATTCGTTTAACTGACCTTAAAATCCAAACCATTGTCACTTATTTTCTGTCACCTTTTGTGTGAAAAGAATATGTGTGGTTTCGTTTAGATCAGTATGTTTTTAATCAAAAAATAAAACGTTATATTTTCGATAGCTTTGAAAGATAAAACGTGACCAAACACCTCATAACAATCAATACAAACATAAATTGATGAGGAATTTTATTTTCGTGTACTATAATGTCAGTTATCTCCTCTTTTCAGAGACAAACATTGTTTAATGGTCTCACTGGTAAAAAGTTAATCTAATCTCATCAAGGATGAAAAGTCACATTTCTAAACTTAATTATCTACAAAATGAATTATTATTATTGCTACACTAGTTGTATAAGGTTCATTCATAGCAATTTTTCAGATACTCTGCTGTACTTAATCGTAAGACCAGTTTACCAATTATATTTTAACCAGTTAGTATTTAACTATTAATTTTCACCCACATCTACTTTATTCTATAACATAGTATCTAAATGTAAAATGATAACTATAATCCTAATTCAGTTTCAAGAGCTGAGGATTAAACAGTAATATAATGACTTGCATAAAATCCATGTAATAAACTAAGCTATTCTGATTTAGATGGTGGTTGGAGGTAGTCAACAGGAAACCCTGGACCCGGGTTTCGTGCTACTTGGCACTCGTCAGTAAGGTGTACCTGTAATCTTGAGGGAACTGGTGCTCCCTGGCGGATTCGATCTCATGCCACCCAGCTTCACAGTCACAGACGTTACCACTGAGCTATCCGAGCCGCGACTGACCTCCTGTAGGACTGAGATGTAATCACAATCGATTGATCACTGGGTGGTGATTAATGTCATGCTTGTCTAGTCCTTATTAGTGCAGGGTTTCCTGTTGACTACCTCCAACCACCATCTAAATCTCAATACATTGTGCCCACAGTGTCGAGTCACCTAGACTGGTGGCCACATTGCAACATGATCGATAGCATTCGATCTGCACTAATAAGGACTAGACAAGCATGACACTGATCACCACCCAGTGATCAATCAATTGTGACTAAGCTATTCTTCTATTTATGTGAAATGCGAAGGATGATTTATGAAATATTTAACAGGTATTACGGTTACTATCTAATTCAAAATCAATGATTATTTTACCATACTAATGATTTACATGAAAGCTTAGTTATATACACTTGAAAAATTGAGAGTAATTTTCAATCGTACATTAGTCTTGATTTAAGTGTAACATAAATCTAGTAAACATTAAGTTTATTTTATAATGTTTTTTTTGTTGCTGCTAATATTAACTCTATAAATAAGTGTTGACCGAATTAAAACTTCAAATTTTAAAAATCCTTTAGTTTTAGCGTAGATCCATGTTCTTCACATGTGATTTTTTTCTCATTTAATAAAACAGTATTTAGAGCAATAAACTCTTTACACTAGATACTATTTATTCATCCAACAACTAAGGTCATTGTGATAAAATTTAGGTTAATAATCAGGCTACAATTAAAAAAGAAAAAGATTTAACTCTAATCGACAAGAAAATTATGTGAATGCCAATTAACCTCATTTTGGGATTTAGTTTATTATTTGGGTTTATTACTAATTCTATTGTATTGAAATGTGAGTATATATATATATATATATATATATATATATATATATATATATATATATATACTTCCCATTTCAGTGCTGAATGATTGAAGACATAACTTAGCAAATTAACAGTAGTTAATTTATATAAAACTGATCATTGCTTTGAAAACGGAAATAGTTTATTTAATAATATTTCCATAGGTTTATTTGACTTTAACACGTCATTTTCTTAATATAATCTTTTTTTCATCAATAATAAAAGCTATTAATATAATCAAAAAATGATTTATTATTCAAGCAATTGAAGTGATTAAGCGGATAATCAACTAATGGAGAAAATCTTAAATTTTATACTACTGAATCATTGTCTGAGTACATTCTACTAAAATAATTGAATTGTCAAGGATACCAATTAGCATTCACATAGTATAAAATAGTTCGATACTTTTCTTAGTACAACATTTATTAAGCACAGTACTTTCATTTCTCACATTTTTCTATCGTTCTTATTAATACGTTTTATTACATTTTCTCTAGCTATCGCATTTTGACACAGAACTAAAACTCTATAATTTCCATTGTTGAAAATATATATTCCAATAGTTGAGATCATGAGTCAATTGAAGCTAGACCACCATGGAAAACCTGGAAGGCCTGTAGTCCTATCGTGGGACTCCTCAGTAGTACGCACCCACGGTCCCGCCCCGCGAGACTCGAATCCGGGACCTATCGCTCTCTCGCGCTAACGCTTAACTTCTAGACCATTGAGGTGGTCGACATCCAATGGTGTTAATATCAAACTTCAACTAATCCACGAAATTGAGCGACACATACACCATTGTATTCAGTGAGTTTCTATCTCACAACAGACTTGGTTGAACTTCATTGGTCACTGCTTCTCACTAGAGCTCCAGGAAATACCTCTTGAAGTCAGTCCCTAGTGAGCATACGCTGGTAGTATCAGTGCTCCCAGGTTTTCTATGGTGGTCTAGCTTCAATTGACTGATGATCTCAACCACTGAAATTACTATAATATCCACAAAAACCCCTTCTTATACTAAATATATATATGTTTAAATTTTTCTTGACAGACCTCCTACTGTTTAAAGGTGAAAAATAGACAGGAAATGACATAAAAATTATTTTTCTGTTAAATTATATTGACGATTGTATTAATTTCATTCCATTTTTTATGCTAACGTGATTCAAAATAAACATTACTGAAGAATTATTCTCTGATTTGATATCTCCTCACATTATGAGAATATGTATGAGGAATGCAACTGTATGTACATTTTCACGAGATTTATCAGTAGACATCTGCAGTCAACAGTAATGTTGACATTCATTAGTATTATAAGAAATTAAATATAATTTTAATCATTTCGGTTGATTTAAAAACTCCTCCTGTAGCTCTTCTAGGGATACTACCGGTCCCAAACCCGAGTAAAGAAGGAATCATTGGGCGTGGGGTCCGCATCCTTATTCCGTAGAAAACAACCTTGCTAAAAACTTTAACCAGTTGATTTAAAAACTATTGCCGTGTCGTGATCAAATTTCAATAACATGTAATCATTAAATAATGTTAGCTCGATAAATCGTAACTCTTGATTATTCAGTGACCAGTCTTCATTTTCATTGTTTGTCAGATGACATGGCTCCAAAGTATTCGTTTATGTTGACTGTACAGCGATTTCGATATCAAGACTAATGACAGAGTAAATGCAAGACTTCGAAACTCATCGTAACTAGTGTAGGATGAATATTTCACCAAATAGTGTTATAGTTTATTCAAAAGCAAATTGAAAAATGATAGAACTTCCAGCAAACAGTGTTTAAGTATTTATTTCATTTTTCCAGTCAAGAAGAACATAAAGCTATCAATGTTCATTTATTTAAATAATTATGTTGTTCAGTATATCTAATCCAAGCAAACACTTGCATAATGTATGGTAAACCAGTAGAATTATTAGTTTTAATTATACCTTCTATGTTCGTTAATCTTCATCTTTTTAAGAATCTTACTAGTAATTTAGGTATATTAACAATGCCAAAATAAACATATATCTGCCTTTTGAGATTTTATTGCTGGAGTGTAATTTCTAAGCACAAACAAAACCTAATTGCCATGATTTGGGATAAGCCTAATTTCCCGTGTGTTAAATTGAATAAATTATGTTTTCATTTATAGTCGATTACTAAGTAACAGTACCAATACATCAAATGAAGTCCTTTTTGTGTTAGTTACATCAACTCGCCTATATTGTTTTCATAACTGTTCAATTACTACTCAAATAAGTTAGAATTTAAGGATTCATTTTCGCTATAAAAAACTTTCTTAGTGTTTTCTCACTACCGATATCACAGCTTGTATAAATTAATGTTAAACATTTTCAAAAAGTATTTAAATCATGCTACTTATTTTTAAAAAATGTTGTTGCGAAAAACGATTGTTTTGAAATCAAATTCCCCAAGGAGCATAAGCTTTTTTAAGATAACAGCCATACCTTGTGAACGAGTGCTAAATAGAAAGAAACCTAAAGAAATGAGCGTAGAATAATTTTAGTATATTTGGATTGCGACTAACAATGAAATCTAAGTCTTGTGCTTTTTCCTATTTATGATTTATTGATTGGATTTACCTATATCCCAGAATTAAAATGAGACTTCCAAGACTATGATCTAGTGCCTTTTTTTTTAACACTAGGGTATATACTGTGATACATAGGCGAATTGTAAAACTTGCTTTGTGTTTGAGGGCGAAGACACAATGCAGCACGAAAAAATGAAGAAAAATACCTGAAGACAATCTTTCAAAAGAACGGCTACCCAATCAACTTAATCAAAAAAAACGCCAACCGTACACATTATCAGAAAGAAAGTCA